AAACTGTGCAAGCTGGCAGCACCATCCATGAGAAAGTAACACCTCTGAATCTTGGCAGGAGGCTGTGTGTCCTTCCACTGGGTCCTTCCCAGTTAACAAACGTTGGTGCCCCAGGTTTGCACAGGGCTGGAGGTCACACAGCTGCTTTGCTCTGGGTCTGTCCCAGCTTGCAGCACACAGTTATTTTTCTTACTCATTTTCACCCTACTAACATGGGACCCGTATGACCTCAGGGTGCGTTTAGAGGTTGGAAAATAACATTTTATCACAAAAATAACAAACCAAAGTGAGTCTAGAAAAGCAACAGAAGTTAAGAAGCGCTTTGTAGAACATCATCTGGGCCAAGGCTGCTCTGAGCTCCCTGTCTGGGCTGGTGGGTGCACAGCAGCACTCTGCCTCGGGAGCTGTGGTGCCAGCTACAGCTCCCCTGGAAGAGCCATAGCAAAAGGGTTCTATTTTTAAGTAAGTTCTCCACGAAACATTACATTTCAGAGAGTGTTTCCTCCCAGAATAGAACTGTCCTAGTGTCTCTTCCTTGGACCCAAAATATATGGTAGTGTGTCCCATGGAGAGGTACTGCCACAGGATGACAACATCACTATGGTTGGAAAGGATCATTAAGATTATTGAGTCCAACCATTGTCTCCAAGTCACTTCACCATATCCCTCAGCACCCTATGTAGATGACTTTTAAATACATCCAGGGATGGTGATGGAACCACTTCCCCTGCTGAGGGACCTGGGGTTGTTTAGCCTAGAGAAGAGGAGACTGAGAGGTGATCTTATTGCCCTCTACAGCTACCTAAAAGGAGGTTGTAGGGAGGCTGGTGTTGGTCTCTTCTCCCAAATTCCTGGTGATAGGATGAGAGGAGATGGCCTCAAGTTGTGCCAGGGGAGGTTTTGACGGGCTATTGGGGAGAATTTCTTCCCTGAGAGAGTGGTTAAGCACTGGAAGAGGCTGCCCAGGGAGGTGGTGGGGTCATCATCCCTTCAGGTGGTCAAAAAATGAGTAGATGTGGCACTTGAGGTCTAGTGGTTAGGGAGATGTTGGGTATGGGGTTGGACTTGATGATCCTGGAGGTCCTTTCCAACCATAGTCATTCTATGAGGTTTTTAAGCCTGTTGCAGTCCTTGATAACTCTTTCAGTTATAATTTTTTTGTTGCCAGAGCTGGTAGGAATTTGGGCAATTTCCTTTGAGGGTTTTTCTATTTATTTATTTATTGAGCTGTTGAGTAGAATTGTTTCTATCCTGAGCATGTTACAGGAGACAAGTGTGGGATGGATTTGGCAAAGTGGAACTTCATAGGTCCCTTTTGAAGCAGAAGTCCTCGATTCTCGTTGTGTGTAGGCAACTATTGCTCGTGTCTATCAGTGCACGTTAGATAAAGATTTGTCCAAGTCTCTGGTGAAGGAAGAGCATTAATCACCTTTTCCTGCCTCTCCCAATTTCCCAGCTTGGCTACACAGGGTTTTTGTTTGCCAGGTTTCTCCCTTCACCTTGGCTTCACACTCGTTCCCTGCAGGAGTGGGTGAGAATTAGCCACTGATTTGTTGAACAGGCTGCTTCTATTAGCCAAGGAATAACAGAAATTAAATAATTACCAAAGAGCAAAAGGATGATTAAGACAACTGCACAAGAGCATATTCCTTTCAAATTTTGCAAATGATAGCTGCCACTCCTCGTGTGCCCATCAGTCAGTGCAGGTTTGATTAGTTTTGGGGGGCACGGGGGATGATGAATGGATGCACCCAGGCCTGGAGCTGCCTGGGGGGCTTGACAGACACTGGGAGTTACAGCAAAGCGAAGGGGGAGGACGTGTTTGTAACCAAAGAGAAATATTAAAATGTCTCTTTCTGCTATTAATCTGCCTGGAATGATGGGGGTGATTGTTTTGAAGTGCATTCTACAGCGGAACAATAATGAGAAGAGAGAGAGCACATCACTTATCTCTTCTACCTGGCTGGTGTATAAGTGGCAAACATCTAATTGAAAAAATATCCTGATGGGAGAATTTCTAATAAATTTGTTTGCACCCTCATAGCCTGGAGGAGAGGGAAAAAAAATCCAATCAGCAGTGGGGAAGTTCCAAAGTTTCCATTGCATTTCGAGTCTTGATTTTCAGGCTCGCTGCTCAGACTGGCAATCAGAGGCATGGTAATTTTGAAGGCAGGATTCATTACAGTTATTATGAAGGAATCGAAGGCAGAGGAAGTGTGGTGCAGAGGTAGAGGAATAGTAGAAAGCTGTAAAAAAACCCATTCTGACAAACAGAATGGTATAGAGAAAGCAGAGTGCTTGTCCTGCCTTGGACCTCCCCGGTGGAAGATACTTCTTGTTTTCTGAGTGTAGATTGCCAGGTGAGTTTTTTGTTTTCTGAATGTAGATTGCCAGGTGAGTTTTTTGTTTTCTGGAGAAGTGGATTTTTAAACAGGCCTTAGTCTGGATCTACAAAATATTGTGCTGGAGGAGGACAAAAATGAGGTGTGTGTGTTTGCAGGGAAGGGGAGGGAGGGATGGGTGAGTGGATGGATGGATGGATGGGTGGATGGATATCATTGCTGTGCTTAAATCTCTCAGAGGGGCAAAGCTTTTACTTCAGAAGGAGCTCCTCTTTTCCTGATGTGGAGGTAAATATTTCTGCAGTGCCAATTCCCAACTGGATGTCAGGAAAAATTTCTTTCCTGAAAGGCTTATCAAGCCCTGGCCCGGGCTACCCAGGGCAGTGGTGGAATCCCCATCCCTGAAGGGGTGTGAAAGGCACGTAGGCATGGTGCTGAGGGACATGGTTTAGTGGTGACCTGGCAGTGCTGAGTTAACAGTTGGAGTCAATGATCTTAAAGGTCTTTTCCAACCAAAACGATTCCATGATTCCGTGACTGGTTCTGGGGGTGGACAGAACTATCTCCTCGCTGGAATATTTTCTCTCTCTCCAGGGCTGCTTGCTAGAAAGCTCTTGTGCAGCTCATCTGAGGGATCCCTGTGTGCAGTCTCAAGATGCAGTAGCTTTTCAGCACCCCATGTCTGTGCAGCTGACCTGACACCAAGCTCTGGCACTGCAGATTGACCCACTGGAAAGGGCCCTGCACAGCCCACAGCCTTGGGCAGTCTGCTCAGGCTCCAGCATCTCCAGGATCCACCTGAAGGAGTTTTAGTGGGGTGATCCCACAAAGAGCTTGGGAGTGAGACCATGGGGCTCTAATTTTGCCTGTTCCAGAAAGATCAGCTCCCCAAAGCCATGCTGCTGCCCGTGGCAAGTCAGAGAACGGCTCCTCCCGCAGCCCCGGGTCCTGCTGCCCCAGGGGCTGAGCATCTCCTCCAAACTGTGCCCCCTCTTCTGCAAACTCAGCCCTTGCTGCCAGGGTCGGTCAGGTTGGCAGAGGGTACTTAGGCTGGCGAGCTGATTGAGTCTCCCTGGCCAGCAGCTCCAGCTGGAGCCCTGTTAGCAGGAGCTGGCCACGCCAGTGGCCGCTCCACGGGCAGAGGGAAATTCAGCTTAAAGTGAGCAGCACCCGGCTGGCTTCTGGCAGAGCTGCTTGTCCCAGCAAGCCCCTAGGGCTGACAATGCTCACTGCATCCCACCCCTCCTGCCCCTCTGACAAGGGTTTAGCCAAATCCTCCATTCGTGCAGGAATCCTCCAGCCTGCTGTGGCTGCTATCAGTAGTAGTTAATGAGTGTCACGATACCCGCTCTAATTTTCCTGCTCTTAATTGGTTTGCTCCGTTCTCCCAGAGGATAGCTGGGCAATTAGAGGGTGTCTGATGCTGAGCAGAGCTGTGTTACCCCCACTTGGCTTTACTCACTCTGCTGAATTTAACAGCTAATCCTGTTGCAGTCTGAGAAATTGAAATGTAATTAATAGTCTCCACTGAAAATCTTCACCTGGCTTTATTTAGGTTTCTCTTTCAGTGTTATCAGTACAGCCCATTTCTGTGAAGGCATTAAATGGGATCAGCTTTGTATCAGTGAGAGGACATGCGAGGGGTGAAGGAACTTCAATTCATCATCTGGCTGATAAGGGCAGAGGGGTTGGCTCTGCCCCTTGTTAAGTTCATGATGTCATTCCCAGCTGGTACCTTCATCCTTGTCTCGGGAGTGGTTTATGGCATAGTTCACAAATTAATTATGGCAATAAAATGGACTTAGCCTTGGGAACTGCCCCGGCCCTACTTGGAGCCAGAGACAATCCTGGAGAGCTTTCTTCCTTCCTTTGGAATCGGAGCAAGTGAAAGGCTCCCACTGTAGGTAATTAATGAGAAGAGTTTCCCAGTTCTTCATGGGGGTTTTGTAGCCTAGTAAGTGATAGGCAGCTCAAAATGGGGTGAAGGGGGCAGGCATGTTTGCAGGAGCTGTGGGGATATGGGCAAATACACTGTGCTGGGGCTGCCATGTCTCTCACCCAGCCAAGGCCTGGCAAAGCTGGTGGGGACGAGGAGATGGGGGCAAACATCCCTTCTGCAGCCTGAGGCTGCAAACAGCAGCAAAGTGTGAGGATGGGGAATCAGGCTTTGCACAGAAGCCCCCTTGGATGTGGTCCAGAGGGTCTTCCTGCAGGGATGCTCTAGGTCTGCTTTGGCAGTTAAGGAGTGTGTAGGCATCTGGAAGAGGATTGAATGGGACCTGCCTGTCTTGGAAATTTCCACGGATGGAAATTGGCTTTTTAGAGCTGGTTGATGGTCTAGTAGAAATTTTAGCAAGAACTGTATTTGGGCGATCTTTGCTGCTGGGTACATCTGTGGTTTTGCACACGTTTGGCTTATTTGTTTGAATTGGAGTGATTCATTCATTATTTTGCTGAAAAAATAACATAAAAGTGCTATGTTACCACGTCCCACTGCAATAGCTGTGATGTACGGGTGCTCACGCAGGCTTCAGGCTTTTAAAGGAGCAGCTCAGGATTTTCTTCTGGGAATTTTGGCTCTTTACATGAAGAGCTGGGGGGGTATTTGGGATGCACGTGACCCATTTCACTAACTCCAACTTTCTTTTGTCTCTCTAGTTTGATGGGGAGAACATGTACATGGGAATGAACGACAACGCCCAGGAGTTTCTATCAGCAAATCAGGTAAGTGTTGATCTGCTTGGGTGGGCAGCATGCTGAGGGCTTCTAGGGGACTTAGGCTATTCCCAAGCACAAATTGTAGGAGCTGTCTGTGGATCTGTACTCAGATCAGGTCCACAGAGGAGGTCAGAGGTGCAGCTGCTGGTGAGGGCTCAGCTCGGGGAGAAGAGGGGACGTGTCTGTGTGTTGGTGCTGCTGCGTGTGGCTGGAGCCAGGCTTGGCCACATCCCTCCAACAAGGCTGAGAAGCTTTGCCACAGCATCCTTCACTCAAAATGAGGATGCAGTTGGTGTTCCTGGACCCAGTGATGTTTCCAAGTATTGTATGTAGCTCAGGTGTCTCCTTCCCTCACATAGTTTCCTGTAGTTGAATGGATCAGCAGTTAGCTGGCTGGAGGAGAAGGAATCAAAGGTTTCCTGTTTTGGAGCTATAAAGCCACACATGGAGGACCAGAATAGACATGCTCATATCTCACAGGTGGCTGGGCCTTCAGGGATCTCTCTGTGCTTAGATACTTGTGAAACAAAACATGTATGTTCAGAGGAACCCTGAATATATCTGAAGTTCAGCCCATGGCTTAGGTCCTGGTGGGAGGTGAGGGCTTCAGCCCATGCTTACCTGCCCTCCTGACCAGGAGATGAGAGATGGTCACATCAACATCCCCCTGTTGAGTTCAGCATCACTAGAGTGTGCTGGGGACTTTGTGCATCCCTGAGGTGCCTGATGCTGCACCCTTGGGGCAAGCACCCAGTCCCATCCAGCTGCCTTACAGGGGAAAGGGCAAGTTCATTGGGATGTTTTTCAGCATCCCATTTTTGGGTTGTGTTGGGCCCTGTTGTTGTGGGGCCCTGCTGACTGCAGACACGCACCGTGGGCTCTGCAGGGTGTGCTGTGTGAAGGGTGTGCTGTGCAGAAGCTGCAGGGCAGCTGTGTGAGGATTTCCAGCCAGCCCAAGATGCTGCTGGCTCCCCATTGCCCTGGCCGGGGTGAAGGTCAGGGTGTGCTCCTGCTGTGGGGTTTGGTCCTCACCACAGCATGGCTGTGTCTTACAGAGCTGCTGAGTGACCCACGGTGGGTCTGCCTCGGGGAGCAGTGGTGATGGAAATAGGTGCCTGTTGAAGTGAAAAAGGGATGAGAAGCTGTTGCTGGGTGCCCTAGAGCCTGGCTGTGCGTTGGGTCAGTGCGTTGGGAGAGTTGTTCCTGCTCTGGCTCTCAGGGGCAGCACAGCAGGCAAAGCCACCACTGCTGAGGCGTGGGGAGAGGGGTGTTCTGCCATGAGAAGGGAGAGCAGAGGGTGGGGAAGGAACTGCCAGCCTTGTGCTGTCAAGTGATTCAGCAGAGACAAGTAGGGAGTCAATCAAGAGCAGCGTGGGGTTGCTCGTTAGAGCCAGGAGTTGTCAGAGGTTGAGTAAATGCCATAAGGAACGGGGTGACCCCGAGCTGCCCTGCCTGGGGGTCAGCTCCCCCCCCTCAGAGCTGTGCAGAGCCTACAAGGAAGTGTTGGATGCTGATGAAGTTGTCTTAGATACTAAAAACTCCCAAGGGACAACTCTTTCACAGCCTCACTGGGAGGCAGCACCAGCTCAGGGGGCAACTGCTTTTCCTGCCCATGAGGTGCCTGCAGGATTGGACTGGGCTGGGGCTGAGCCATGGCCAACACGAACCAGTTGTGTGTCCTCCTCTGTGTCGTCAGAGATCACCTTGCAGCCCCTGTCTCATCCCATTTTCCCCAGGGATGGGCCTCAGAAGTCGTGCTGCAGGGTGGGGAGTGGTTTGCTGCACCACGGTCGAGGAGGAGAGATGGGTTCTGAATAAAAAGAGAGGCTATCATGTGGTGGAGGATTTATGTACTGCTTGAACCTGGGGGAAGGATTAATAAAACCAGCTTAGAGCCCTGTAACCTGGGAAATAGAAGCTTACTCTTCATTTGTTCTCTATTGACTCGGTGACCTTTGGTTCCTATTCTGACACAGCAGTTAAGAATGGGAAGGCAGCAGCTCTCTTGGCAGAGGACAGGCAGGGGACACGTGCCCTCCTTACAGGGGTGGGTTTCTGCACTTCTGTGCTGCTTTACCTCCTGGAGCAAAAGATCTGTGGGGAGTGGGGGCTGACATGGAAAATAAATGGGGAAATTTGTCTCCTCCTCTGTCTCCAGTTCCCCTCCTGCACTGCTGTGCTTGGGACAGTCAGAGAGGGGCTGGGAGGGGGACCAAGGGGTGGGAGGGTGCAGGGTGGGACAAGGGGCTCTGCTGGGGTGGGTGCCCTTATGGGGTGCTGCAATGACCCCCCCTAACCTCTCCCAGGGGAGCAGGGAGGGAAGGTGAGGATCCCAGTTCATGCCCTAGAAGGTTGTTAATGAGTGCTCACACCCAGCAGCAGCCGAGGATGAGGAGCAGCCTTCCTCCCTCCCCCTCATTAGTTCATTGTCTCCCCTTATTTACCTGCACCTCAACACTTGTTTACCAGAGAGGGCTTTACAGCACCAGTCATGACTTTATTACTAATAACACAACTCTCCTATTTCAATGGGAGCTCCAGGTGCTTTTTTATTGTTTGCTAAGCCTGTTGTCACCTGGAGGAGAACATCAAACACCCAGAGCATGGTTTCACCAGCCCACCTGAGAGGCTGCTCAGTCACCAGCCCCGAGATGCTTGTGCAGCATGCACAGGATACTGCTCAGCCCTTGGGATCCTCGGGGACAAGCCAAATCATAAACACTAATTACTCAATCCATAACACTCTTACAGATGGGCCTGGTGGGATGGGTTTTTTCCTCCATTTTTGTCTTAAACTGTTCACACTGGGCACAGCTTAAGCATCTGCAGCTCTCAGCAGCAGACAGTGGCACGCTGAGCTCAGGTGCAGGGGCTGGGATGTCCAGCATTAACAGTGGGAAATCTTGGATGCAGATAAAGAAGCAGATAAAGCTTACTGGTTTAGGGCACACTTGCTTATCTACCCCAGTTCTGTGCTACACAGGGAGCTCCCCAGGTACCAGCACACTTGTGACATGATGAAATCCCCCAGACCTGCACGGGGGCTTCCATCCCCTCTGTGCTTTGAGGTGGGTGGGAAGGGCTGGGAGAGCAAGGAATTAATCTCTGTGTGGAAAATGTTTAGGGGTCCATGGATGGGCAGAAGATCGATGGTCTTTGTTATAGGGAATTCTGTATTGCCTTGCAATTCTTCTTTCAAAAATACCTAGAAGGAGTTATGTGGAAAGCAGAATTCAGTTTATCACTTCTGCTCCTGCCCTGGTTTAAATCCAGAGGGATTTAAATGGCTCCTGCCTGTCAGTGCAATGCTTTACACATTCTGCCTAGAGATCCAGCAGCAGCTTAAGCTCTGGAGTCATCCTTTCCCATCACACAGATAAGAGTATTCTCATTTTACAGCTGGAGCTAGAGAGAGGGTGGGGCTTGGGCAGCATCACTATCCTACAGGACCCTGACTCAGCCCTAGCTCAGCCCCTTGTACAGTTTGGGATCCTAAGGAGCTTCTGCACTGTCTCATGGCAAGAGTTTGGTGGAGCCCAGACCAGGGTCTGCTTGCCTCTCCTTCAGCACTTGCAGAACTTCCTGCCTTGCAGAGCTGCTCATTTGGGAGGAAGAAATTATAAAAACCACCTCCAGCCCCCTCACAAACACTGCCCAAAGCATGTGAAAGTCAGCTGGTCTGCTCCTTCCCCTCGTCTCACTCAATGGGATGCTTCTGGGCTGTCAGCTGCATTTCTTCTTGTCATCCCAAAAGGGGTTGGTTTCAGCTGAGAATGAAATGCAGAACCACAGAAGCCTCAACCATAATGAGAGTGCTGACAGATCCAGACCCACGCCAGCACAGCCTGCTTGGGGAATATAATTCCTCTTGTTCCATCAAATAGGAGGGACATTTGACCCCAGAAGTGAGTCAAATGTGAAATGTAATTCAACCCCCAGCAGAGGCCAGAGTCTAAATGCAACTTGACATCTGATCAAACCATTGCAGACATCTGACCCCCGAGATGAGTGAGGTATCTGTTGTGTCTTATGAAGTTGGCAGAACATCATTCCTCACCCCTGTCAATTTTCTCTCTTTCTTTCCCCCCCATTCATCCAACAAAGACAAGGAATTAAGTAAGGCAAAAATCCCAGGGAATGGACAGATTACCAACCATGTATTCTGAAAGATGAGTAAAAATGCAACGAAAAGCAATAAAAAAACCCCTGAAAAATTGGTAAGAAGGCATTTATTAAGATCTTTGTGATAGGGACAGCAACCCCAGGAAAGGCAGAGGCTGGGAAATTCCTCCTATTGGACTGGTTTGGGGGTTTGTTTGGCATAGAGACTTGCAGGAAGAGTCCACAGATGCTTTATAAACACAACTTGACCACACTTGGGCATCCTCTGCAAGAAGGTGTCATTATCCCATGATGTGGGTGACCAAGTCAGGAAATACCTCGGGGGGAGCTGTGGGTGGTGTGATGCAGGGTGTGGGAACAGCCAGGCTCTGGCTTGGCTTTGGGAACAGTTATCCCCTGGCTTGCTGGGAGCAGGGATGCAACTCAGTGTCCCTCCATGGAGGGACATTCTGGAAAGCCCATGGGGAGTGTTTGCCACATTTCTAAGGTGTCATTATCCCATGAGGTGGGTGACCAAGTCAGGAAATACCTTCGGGGGGAGCTGGGGGTGGTGTGATGCAGGGTGTGGGAACAGCCAGGCTCTGGCTTGGCTTTGGGAACAGTTATCCCCTGGCTTGCTGGGAGCAGGGATGAGACTCATTGCCTGGTCCGTGGAGGAACATTCTGGAAAGCCCATGGGGAGTGTTTGCCACATTTCTCTTCTCCCCCTGGCACGTCTTTGGCTGCTAGCAGGGCAGTGGGCAGCTTCAAAGGAGAAAAGAGCTGAGTAGTTCCCACTGGGCATTTCTGATCCTGTGCCTTTGCCTTATCCCAGGAGCTCTCTCAGTGCATGGCTTGTTCCAGCTGAGCAACAGGTCCCTTCCTGTGCTAACAGGTTAATTTGT